AGACAATTTAATTAAATATTCCAATCCATTCGCGTTATTCATAATTCAAGAAAATATATTTTATTGTTGATCGAGAGTAAAAGGAAAGACCATTTCATTTTTCAAAAATGAAGTAAGAAGTTTCGTAAAGAGCGCGAACGGTAGTGTGAATGATTTTTTGACTGAGGAAATTAGCAAACAAACAAACAAACAATCTCAGCGTTTTAGTAGTATATAGATAGATTCTTCAAGATCTTGTTTTTGTCATCTTACGCCTTTTAATGAAGATGGGAACATTGACAGGGAAATAATATAATAGCCAATGCTCGGCGAGAGGTTTTCGTTTATAAAATTTTGTTGCTGTTCTGGACTTGATTTTTATTTTATTACCTCATCTCTTTAGTTACTATTTTCATCTCATCATTTAATTCCTCTTGTGCATATATTGTTGTATAGAAGATATTTTAAAGTGATTCATCAGGTGGAAAACGAATAGATAAATAGATAAACCGATATGTGGCGTCATCTAGTGCGCCTAAATTCATCTAGAATTTTTCATAAAAGTGATCTGAAAAAACGGGGCTAGCTTTTTAACAAAATTTGTTTTATTTTGTTTCTATTCTCATTTTATTACAAATATGGCGGTATTATGCGCCATTTTTGCTGTATTTAATTACAGACAAGCACACAAACAAACAATCTCAGAGTTTTAGTATATAGATAGTTATAACAAATCTCGTTACGTAACTTGGTAAGAGTCGTAAGCTGTGTGTGTAGTTCAATTGTTGTAGTATTGTAGACGTCATCTTTCTCGAAACCTCTAAGTTTTCTCGCTATGTTAGTATCGTTATATCATATAGTATTGTAGTTTGTAGAAAGTTCGAGGTCTCAGTTGGGCAAGGTATATATATATATATATAATCAAGCGAACACAAGTCAAGTGAAGTTCACTCAGAAAAAAAGTTAGCTAGTGAAAGAGAACGTGAAGTTACCCGGCGTGTAAGTGATTACCCTTAAGAGGTGATTTCTAAAGTGTGTTTCACAACTGTATTGTAACAACAGAGATCGGAATAATAATTTGTCTTTTCAGTTGGGTTCTAAAGTAACTGAACCCACCTGTGTGTACTTTTGGTAAAAAAAAAAAAAAAAATTATTTAAAGCTCTGGTTACAACTGTGGTAACCAACAAAAGAAGTTAAGTAAGTGAAGTTAAGTCAGAAAATGTTAATTTGGTGAAAGTGAAGTTAGACTGCGTATTTTTTAATTTAGTCGTAATGGGCGATATTTTAAAGTAAGTTTAACAGAGATAAAGAAAATAATTTGTCTTGTCAAAGAGTGTTCTAAAGTAATTGAACCCGTCTGTGTGATCTTTGACAAAAAGGAGACAATTATATAAAGTTCTGGATGCAATTGTGGTAACCCACAGGGTAACGTAAGTGAATATATCACAGATTGTATAGTAATAAACAAAATACAGAAAAACAGTTCGTCTTCTCAATTGGATTCTAAAGTAATTGAATCAGCCTATGTGTACTTTTGACACGAAAAGATAATAATTTAGATACAACTGTGATATCCTATAGTGTAAAGAATTTTTGTACATACGTTTGACTTGTTTTGAATATATTATTTTATAACAAGTGGATTGTGTACTGTCCATTTATTGTTGGAATTTATCGCCAACAAGTCACAGACACCTACTGTAAAAGAATCCTAGCCCATATATAAAACCCTGACAGTTGTGTAGCATGTAAATCTGATGATTAATATTTACTATGGAATATTTTATCCATGGAAGCACACATACGCCTGCTATTCTATGTTATTTGGTTGTTTAACTCGTATTTATTACTCGATCATTTTTGTTGCGTATTTCTAAGCAGACTCCACATATATGTTATACTTATTTACTAGGCTATAAACCTTATTGCTTGTTCATATGCAACCCGCATCAGACTACGTCCCGATAATTCATAGCTTCTTATATACATTTACTATTTGCTGAATTTCATAACATAATGCAATTCAACAAACTCATTTACATGCTTTACCATTACCTATATCTCTATATCAAAAATAAAGTCTATTTTGTACCTGTTAGTTAATGTTTTATAGCATTTTTTATACAAATTATAATGATCCTGCAAGGTATAAGTAATTGAATTATGAGAATAATATACAAGACAATGTATTATATGAAAACTGTACAACACTATTAATTTTAATATGTGATATTTCATAGGTCCTCCAGAAATTCATGTACCTAAACCGTGGGTTCATGCTGGCCTGGATACAACTAAAGAAATAAAATGTATAGTCTACACAGAATCTCCAGTTAATGTTACTTGGTACAAAGATGACACACAACTCTCAAATTCAGGTGATCATGTACGAATTGTTAGCAATAATAATACATATAGTGTTGCTCTAAGAAAGTTAACAGAAGAAGACATGGGAAATTACACTTGTGTCGCCAGAAATTCAGGTGGAGAAACTTCAGCAACGATTGAAATATCAGGTAATACTATACAGAAGAAGAATAAGTTTGGCAGTATACTTACTTTCTCAAATAAATGTATTCGGAAGATTGTTATAAATGCACAAATAAGTTCAGCAAATGATCAAATAGAAAAGTCTCATTTTTCAGATGTGTGTGATCTGAAACATGCATTACCTCTCTTTTCCAAAAAGCTTTTGTGTAATTACCATTGTACTCTTTCATGTGAGTGTGATAAAAAAAGAAGCGATCATAAACAGTTGACGAAGTCTGAAATGGTTACAACAAAGATAGCGATCAAATTAAAACAACAAATCCTTTATTATCTTAGAAAAATATAATTTTGCTCAAAACGACATTTCATCATCTTCCACTAAAATTACAAACACCAAACTCAATTCTAATAACCTATAACCAGTATAATACCCCGAAAAATCATGAAATAAATCACAAATCGAACGTTTCATTATGTAATACATAGGAAACAATAAATCTTTACCTTTGAGTGTAAAGTCTAGATATATTAAAAAATGCTTTTGATATATCGTTATATCCCCAAGTAACATGTCTAATAGTAAAGGAGAATTCATGAGCAAGAGATACGTAATGAGAAAGCTTTTCGAAATAAAGTTCGTGATTTGGAGATCAATATCACTACAATCTTTGGTACACGTATTTGTGTTGGCATTACCTAGCTTTTGTGATGATGTCTGATGTTGTAAAGACGACAAACCAGTCACTGTGCAGAGTTTTCTGTCTAACGAACGCTGAAATCATGCAAATAACTTTTGGTGCGAGAGAAATTTGGACAGCGGAAGCTGGTATTTTACACTAATTAATAAATAATTGGTTTTAGCTTTCCTTTTTCAGAAACCGTCATCACGAGATTATTTTGTATTAGTCCCGAAATATTTTAAATTACTGAGCCCCATTTTACAAAGTGTGATAAATCATAATAATATTTGAGTTACTTAGACTAACCATACACATTATTTTGATATAAAAAAGGTTTATTTTATTTGTAAATTACGCAATACTCGAAATATTTACACTTGTTTTTTGTTGTACATTTCCATAAGTACAGTATACCTTTGATTTTTCCTATTTCCATAATTTTCTTTAGGCTTAGCAAGTGCTGTTAAGTTTAAAAGTGATCCTATGGGCTACAAACCAACAAGCTATGCTCTGATGTGGGAGGTAGAGTCTTATAGTCATGTGATTGATTATTTGCTTCAATTTAAAGAAAAGAAGGTAGGTTTAATATTTGTAATGATAAGAAAAACTAAGTCGACATATAAAATGTTAATGTTCCAAATATAAAATTTAAGAGTTTACACCTTTTATTTGTTGGAGGTAGAAGAGCTAACGATGATGAAATAATTTTATTATTTAGGATAAAAGAAAATAGTTAAATGTAACAAAAATAACAAAACTTACAACAATTGTAAGCTGATGTTTGTACTAAGTCAGTGTCTCTCAGTCGGATTTGCTAGACGACCCCCACGTTCGTGCTTTGGTCGTCGCGATCCTCATTATTTCTCCAAGGATGAAAAACTTTTTGGTTTCTTGGCGCAGTTCGTCATAGTCCATAACAAAGGTGATATGTACACCTCTCAGACACCTTAAATTATATTCATCCTTTTATCCAACATTTTACATTTATACATATATTTATACAATACGAACTATTTAGGCCCGGCATGGCCAAGTAGTTAGGGCGCTCGACTCGCAATCTGCGGGTCGCGGGATCGAATCCCCGTCCCACCCTTTCAGCCGTGGTGGCGTTATAATGTGACGGTCAACCCCACTATTCGTTGGTAAAAGAGTAGCCCAAGAGTTGGCGGTGGGTGGTGATGACTAGCTGCCTTCCCTCTAGTCTTACACTGCTAAATTAGGGACGGCTAGCGCAAATAGCCCTCGTGTAGCTTTGCGCGAAATTCATAACAAACAAACGAATTAATTTTCAACTAATTTTTCTCTTCATTTAGATTAATAATACCAAACGATTTAGAACGTATTAATCCATCTGTTTTGGTTTTATATAGGTGAATAGTACCGATGACTGGGAAGAGGTTACCATACCGGCAGAAAGACAACCAGGTTTGATTCAGACACAAACTTATGACATCACTGGTCTGAAAGAAAACACTTTTTACGATATGTCGATCCAAGTTCGCAATAAATTTGGTTGGAACAAGCCAACAACTTTTGCCTTCTCAACCAAACAAAAAGGTATGCAAAATTTGTAACTGAAGTAATTCAAATTTATTTTACTAACATGCTATATATATATATTATCTTTTTCTAAGTATAATGGAAATTCTATTTTTTTACATTATTCCTTTTGTGGTGTTTTTTAGAAGTTCTGTACAAAGCTACTTTCCCTTGTTTTGCACTAATAAACTATAGGGAAGACGACTGGTCAACAGCATCTATCGCCAACTCTTGAGGTACTCTATTCGAATAGTAGTATTTGACATTTTGTTTCAGTAAGTGGACAAACCATGAACAATGGTACTTACGAGTATGGAACTGTTACGACAGCGGAAATCACGCGACACTGAGAGCATGCGAGCTGGAGTTTCTCGAATGATCATGAATTTGCCAGGCAGCTTGAGTCTGATCTAGATGCCCCCTTTTTTTAGTACATAAGCCTGGCAAAGAAAGCCAGCTGAATATAGATAGATAATCGAGTCACGGTAAGTCGATTCTGTGAATCCCTGTGATTGTAGCGTGTGTTTATAAAAATCGTTAAGTTTAAAACGACGAGGAACTTATTGACTGTGGAAATTCTGTGTATTACAAAGTTTGTATCAAGAAAGAATAAACTAGTTTTAATCAAGAAAGGACTTGTATCGCTGAAGTTTCTCAGAAAAAAATTCTACGGGAAATTAAAAACAAGCAGACACATGATAAATTGGTGTCAGAAGTGGAATAAAAAAAGATGGAAACGAGAAGTGGCAATTCAAACTACAGCTTAACAGATTTGATGGCAGCAGCATAAGAACAGCAAATAAACAAGAGGAACGAGAAAAGAAACAAGAA